CGCATAAACTCAACACATACGTTACTGCCTCTTATTTTTAGTACACCATCACTCTTATCTATTTCTCAGAGGCCCCATCACTGAAATCTCACAAGTTCTCCTCTTAGCAATTTACATTTAGGACAAGAAAGCCCCATAGATGGGATATGAAGGTTCCTAAAACACATCATTTTTCTACCCTCAAGTGTGGGGCCACAATTTAAAAGGCTTCTACAAGATTTGCAATGAGTCTGTACAAGGTGACTCCCTTAACAGAAGTGAATTTTTAAATTAATGTTTTCCAATCTCAACTTCAGCTTGATATACTAGTCTTTTTTGAATGATGTTTTTACTGTATATAGACATAAAATTACAGGGGGAAAAAATTGACCATGAAGCTGAAAATGAAAGCTTACAGACCATCACCGTAAAACACTGCCATTAAAAAAAAAAAAAAAAGTTTAAATTTTTACCATTATTTTATGAACTTGAACATTTGTGTCTTTGTTTACCTACTGCTAAGTTAAGTATATATTACTTTAAGTGAGGAAAATAGTATTTATTGCTTAAATTTCCATGGCTGGCATACTGATCAGGGTCAATGTTACACTGGAGAGCTGTATGGAAGCCACTGACCTCAGGCGATTCAAAGCCAGACAGCGCTCGAAGGAAACACCTTCACCATCACACAGGAGCCTCTAGGCTTCACGGGGAGTACTGCATGGACACCACCAGCCCCACGAGTGCCCTTGTCGCTCCCTAAACAAGGACAGAGTGCTCCTGGCATAAATGAGAAGTGACACACTTCTCTATCTTGTCTGATGTCTTAAGACAATCATCTGAGTGTCTCACAGTCAATTCACAGGCGTATTTTTTAACATTTTTCTTCTACGAAATGCATCTTTAACAAAGAATTACGGCACTTTCAGGCAGATAGCGTAGTCCTAACATGCGGGTGTAAGTAGAAACAGGATTTCTCAAATAACAGGGGAATGTCTTGCCCTACTCTTTCCAAGCCGCCAGCCATGGAAAGAAGGCTGGCGACGGTGTGGGAAGAGTTTCCTCAGTAACTGAGCCGTGCGTTCGGAAGGCATAAAGCTTTGCGGCACCACTAGCCTGGGAAAGAGAGAAGATGTGGCCTTATTCCAAGGACAGGTTCGAAACACTGACTAACCAGAGACACACCCAGTAAGACTGCCTTCAAATACATCTTCTTACTTCATGAGAAAAACATTTTCATTTGAATATTTTCAAAATTGCCATCATAAGTACCTTGTCAATTATGAAATTACTAACTCGTGTCACTAGCTCAACATGCTAGTAAATATGCCTAGCAAAGAGATATCATTCTGCTAGAACCATAGAACAAAAGAAGATTGTGGATACTTATAGAGGGGCAAGTTGCAAATTTTAAAAATACATAGTAAGGTGGAATTCATGAACACTAATAGGCAATGAAGATCGGAGACATACTAATGAATGCTATTAATAAAATTCTTGGAAAATTATAATGAGCAGCTAAAATCAACTTATAGACTCTTGTCAATGCTTTCACTAATGAGACAAAACCCCAAACTGGATTTTGCTCCCGCCTCACCGTTCGGGAAAGCCGAGAGAGGCTGCCTGTGGAAGGCGCACGGCAAAGGAATTAGGACAGCAGACGGTAGCCAGACGGGTATTCTCTACCCTCCACTCCTCCGAGCCCAGTCAGTCAAACAAACTGAACTGCCACGTTAGTGGGGGATACGGGTTTCAGTAGTCAGATTAAAAGGCGATCAACGTCCGAAATACCCTCATGACCCAGATGCGCATCTCGTCTGGCATCTCAGTGCAGCGGCTGTGCCCAGTGCTGGCTATGGAAGTGTCGGTACCCAGTCAGGTGCATGGGAGATACAATAAGCTCACTTGTGCCAATGCGTCACTTTATTTCAGAATGCCAGCTCAAAAGGGTAAATTAAAGGGTAAAAGACTGCGGAAATTACTAAATAAAATAATAAAATTCTTCGGTGGTGATAATGAACTAAGATGCCTAGAGATTTTTAATAGGCAACAAGCAAACCCTATACTGCACAAGAATTGGTAACTTTTCTGGCAGTGAATCAACCAAACAAAAGTCAGCCTTGGCCTATAAGTCAATGAATCCATATTTTAAAAATATCTAATCATATTTCAGCTAAAACTCAAGATCTCTTATGGATAAAATAACCTCAAAAACATACAGTTGACAGTATCTACCATTAATTTAAAACTCTGGGCTTTACTACCAGGCTTCCAAACAACTGACTTTGCCTTCCTCACAGGCATTACAACTCAGGGGGGTGTGGCCCAACACCCAACAAAGAGGCCTGCCCACAGACCAGCCAGGAAAGCTTTCTTCAGTCACAGTTCCGCACAGAATATGGTTGCCTGGACTTCTTTCCCACCACTACACCTTTCAGATTAATATGCCTTCATTAACCAATGGCTATAAATGTGAGTCACAATGCAGAGAAAGATTATTTTAATACAAACATCATGCGGTACTTTGCTGTCCCTCAGAACCCGCAGCTGCTGATCGCCGCAGCTTGGCGCTTACTTACACTACTTTCGGGACACAGTCGTTTAGGAACACCGGGTACTAAACGGTTCGGTTAGACTGCTATGGTAATGCACCACACCCCACACTGGTGTTATTTCATTAGGAAACAAGCTAAGAATGACCTTTGGAAGTTGTGAATGAAAGCAACATTTAAAAAAATCATTGTATCTCTAAATATTCATCTGAATATTTGCTATCACCATTAAGGTACAACTTATATAATTATTTAACAGTACTGCTTGTGGTCAAAACAGTTTTTCATCAACTCTGAATATTGTTACTGATAACAGGCTGGATATAGTTTTCAGAAATCACTTCGAGTCACTCAGACCCCAGGCTGGCACATAAACTGTGTTTTAAATCGAAACAAAGTGTCACTATCAAATGTGTTTAATGGCCTGGATATGGAAGCAATGCTCCCAAAGGGGGGATTCCCTAAAACACGTTGTGAGTAACAGTTCATCACTGGTAGTACATAACCACAAAGAGACTTCCGTGACAAGATCCCCCATGTGGGTTAAATGCTCCCATACGTCTGAAAACAGCCCCACGCCCCACAGGCACACTTCCTACACAAACCCACCTGCCCCTCTCCAGCCCTGTGGGGCTGACCACTGACATCAAGGTTATTTGACTGTCAACCACTAAGTGAAACCGTCTATACCAGTGATTTCCGACCGGCGTGCTGCAGCCACTGCTATACTGTAAGACACACATGCATATGCTGCAAGAGTGTTTAAAATAGTCGATAATACCTGACTATTCAGTCAACACAACAATAGATAATACAACAGTAGACATCCAGTGTGGATGAGTCAGAATTATATTTTTTTTGGTCAAATAAGCAAAAACTATATTTTTTGGTGTTCCATGAGATGAAAAAGGCTGAAAATCACTGGTCCACACTGATAGCAAAGGCAGTTTTCAGATCACATGCATGTTTCTGATTGTCATTTCTGTCCCTCCGGCTTCTGACCACAAGAGAACACATTTAAATCATACAGTTTTCAAATCACCTGCTAAAGTTAGTTTAAACACTATTTGGCAACAACAGTTCTGAAGGTGACATCAGAACAGGTTAAGATACATCCCTTAAACTTTACCTGTGGCCCCTCTTCATGTGCCTGCCTTGTGACATACTAACTGGAGCCACATCAAAGTGACATTCTGTAGGTCACAAATGGTTGAGTCGGTGGACAGTTGATATGGCTCAACTTAATCATATTTCTCTAAAACAAAGAAATTTAAATGCCTATCGACAGAGCCGGTAAGACAGATTATTATCTATCTACATGGCCATCTTCCTAGCAACAACCTATATTTCTACAAAGTTTGACAGCTTATACAAACCTATTAAGTTGCACATGTTTCATGGAACTTTGCAACCCTGTGAAGGAGGCAGGTCAGATACCCTGAACTCCACTTCACAGGCGAGAAAATAAGGCTCCCATGTTAACTCACTTGCTCAAACGCCAAAAAGTAATGGAGCAAGGAATCAAACCCAGGCCTTTGACTCTATCTTTGCTGCAAACGACTGCCCCTTAGGAGGATAATCAAGATCATCTAAGTACAAGCACATGCACTCCCAGCGCTTACTTGTGGTCAGATTCCACGAATGCAATACCTATGTGGTAAGGATCGAGACTGGGATACTTCAGTGCTTTCAAAAATGTGAGTGCGTACTCAAGTACATTCTTATAATTTATCGGCTACTTCTGCAGCCTATACCCTCACCCCTCCATCCTTACATCCTGCCGGCCCCTCACCACAAAAGGTCACGTACCTGGCTAACTGTTCTACACGTCCATTGAGAAACAAACCATTACACTAAACATGCAATGTAGTCCTCATACTATCAATCATAGCATGAGACCATTTTACTTAAAGATACCCAAAGCCTGGGATGTGATTCTCAATAATATAGTAATTAAAAGAATGGCCCATGACTCAAACTGATAACGTAGTGACTCCACTTACAGCTTAAAGGGAAAATCCGCTACTGCCCACATTTGTTCTACAATCACCACTATTTATTGATGAAGGAAAAAAGTTTTCAATGAACTTCTAATCCTGGTAATTCTATACATTGGAATAATCAAAGTAAGTGATAGCTGCTGTGATGTAATAAGGTTTTCTCTTCAACCTCCCACCCCTACTGGTCCATCAAGCAATAACAGAATCTTCCTTGTTTATTAATTTGAAATAACACATAATTCCCCCAATACTATGTTTAGATACTAAGACCGATAACCCCTTCCTACTGTCTTGATACTTTGGGGTGTGGATTTGTACGGATCAAATCTCACTTTATTACTGAGAAAACATATCTATGGCCATGGCAGCCAAGGAGAGGGGAGTAAAGATACTTCATAACACACACACACTCTCTCTCTCTCTCTCTCTTTTGTTTTCAAATTATTTTTCAAATGCTTTAAATACTTACTCACACAGCAGAACACCATTCTCCAGAGAGGCTCGAAAATCCTTTGTTTCAAAATTCTTCTCAGTTACTTCCTGAAAGAGAAATTTGGATATTAATTTTTTTAAATCAGGGATAATATACAAGTCAAATTCAGTATCAGATTAATATGCATCTGATGTTATAATTTAAAAATGTGCATATATCAAAAGTTGTTCCATATGAAAAATTGCATGTGGTCTATTACAGAGAAAGAGGTTAACCACTGTCGTATGAAAAAATATAAACAGAAAAAAACCACAATGAGCATTTTCTATAATGTAACCATTTTATGGATAATGAAAGTTCGAAGATAAATTTTGACACACTTTCTGTAAAACTCCTGTGGGTGAGCTGTTCTACTAAGAGTAAAGTCAAATTAAAACATAAACTTGAAATACCAACTATATATGCACAGAATTAATTTTAATCCCATCCTTAAAGTTTCACTACATTAATTTTAATCCCTACCTTAAGTTTCACTACAAAGCTAAATAGCAGAGGACACAACTCTCCTTAAACATGTTCATGAAATGGCCCTGATTTGTGTCGAGAGCTATTTACAGAAACATCCCAGAGAGCAGACTGTTACAGACAGGCAAAAGACAGAGAAGGCAGATGGTAAAAACTTTAAGCAGACAATTCCCTACTTAAGGCTATTACATATGAACTGGAAAAATCTCCATGAGATTCTTTCTCTTGAGGGTAGAGTAGACGGGAAGGAAGGGGGTTCCGTAGAGGAAATAGCAGCAGAGAAAACAATGGAGAAAAACCTGCCCCCAAGAACAACTCTTGGGGTGGGGTCCCCAGCTAAGGGTGTGGGCAGGAGTCCTTGTTCCACCTGCCACTTCACAAGAAAATACAATCTTGAAAACAACCCATCTTAAATCCTAGGTGAGCTGCAGTGCCCGCCCAGTAAGTGCCCTGTCCTTGCCACCACTACCTTTACCATCCACCTGGAACCCTACAGGAGAGTGTGTCTCTGCATCTTTCCCACAATGTCCAACAAAGCTGTAGCTAGACCCACTGTCTGTTAACTGACAAAACCATGTAATTGTAGAATTAAAGTCACTTTCTCATAAGCTGGCTCTATAAATATGGACAGGAGCCGAGGCCAGGGGGTGATGCAGAAGGCAAGGTCAAGTGTAATAGAAGGTCCTCTTCTGCGCATAGCACCAGCCTGCAGAAGGGAGACACTGCTGCATGAATTCAGCATCCGCAGAGTCTCTGTTACAGGCGCTTAACCAAGATACTGGGTGGAGATCTTAAAAAAAAAGACAATTCTTCCCTCAAGAAGTTCACAGCCACATAAGTAAGACACGAAGTTTGAAAGCACAGTAAAGCCGAACAGAATGGCACCTTTGTGGAGGAGGTGACCTTGAGTGGCCCACAGACGGTCCCAGTAACCTGTGCAGCACAAAGTCTTCCCTTTCCCCCAAACAGTTCCAGTGCAAACTCAGGATGAGCACTGATCCCAACCAGAGAAACTCAGTACTATCTCATTCACCTGGGAACTGCTGTCCAAGCCAAAGAGCATAAACAGTCCCAGGAACATCAAAGCACGTATTGAAGCCTATCTTCTCTAAACACAAGCAAGCCACTCAAAGCCAACACTTAACTGTCCTCCAGTGAAACAATCTAGCAATTATGTCCCCAAATCAATGCAGATCAGTAAGAGTGGTTTAGAAGAAAATCAGACCATGCCCTGCAAACACGCAGAGAGCACCAATGAGGACCAGCCAACATTCCTGGACCGGCCAGTCAAGAGGGCAGATTTGTACCAAGTGATGCAGTAAAAAGAGATAAGGCCCAACTCAGACAAAACTACATTCGAATCCCACTTTAATTACCTAACACCTCTGTGATCTTAAGCAAGTTAAATAACCTTTCTGAACTCCAGTCTACTCATCTGAGGCAGAAACAGCACCTGTTGGGAACCACCCTGCCTGGTTTCAGAAGCTGTAACCCCCACCAAGGCTAAGGCTGAGGGAGTGACCTTGGACTGTAAGCCACCAAGGAGACAAAAGCTTATCTCCCTGGTAGGAGAGCCGCTTCTGCTCCTTTTACTTCATCCATAACTGGCCCCCCATGCTTGGTCAGTCAGCCAATGACAGATAAGATTCCCCAAGGGGGGAACAACTTAAGACAGGCACGATCACATGGGAGGCCCCCAAGGAAGGACTTTGGGGGCTACAGCAAAAGGGGGTGACGGACCCTCGCCCCTCGGCTTTGACAAAGTCTGAGTCCTCATTGTCTGTGAGAAGTCTCCTAATCTCTTGGCTGCCTTACTTCCCTTGCTCCACCTAAGCCTGAAACAATGACAAGGTGGTGCAGCCCTGTGCTGGAAAGGGCAGGTTCCCCAGGCAATCAGGCCTGAAAAAGAATCTGTAAAATCCTGTGAAACCTGCTTTGTTTAGAATGCTCTCAATTAAATGATAAGGGTCCAAGCAAGAAGTAAGTTTGTTCCTCAAAGTTTTACAGCTCTTTAGCTATCTGACCCTGACTCAAAATAGGCCCTCAGAGTTCTTTGTTATCTATTGTTTGGTTCTTACTGCCTGGCAATGATTAATGAGCTTTATCTGTATTCTTGTGCAAATGAACCCAATAAAAGCCCATTGAGGAACCAGCTCCCGGTCCTTCTCCTTTGAGAGATTGGCCACCTTTCCTCCCCAAGAAGATCATGTCTTGGTAGACATATTCTCATCTGTGGAGGCTGGGGAGGCCCTGCAGGCAGATCCCCCCCACAAGCACCTACTTAAGAGCTTGTAATGGCCAAGAGGCTGTGCAGTGGAATACCCAAGGGTCGTTAATAGCAGCATGTGCTTAACCTCATCCATTCACTGACTTCAAGTTAACACTCTGACAACACACTCTGATAATTAGCCCTCAAAGGAATACCTCTGCACCATATGGGAAAAATTGAGTTATATTACATTAACTAATAAAATAGAAATAATGGGATATACAGAGCTATTCAGAAAACCCAACTACCCAGAAAGTTTCATTTCTCCCCAAAAAACTATAGAAAGACAAAGTCACAGTAGATTTCAGGCTACCCTCCTCCAGATATCAAACTGTTAATCTACTCTTATACACATATACTTACCTAAATCTAAATAATTATGATATAACACCAGGCCCTATTTATCTGTTTACAAAGAAGACTATAAAAAGTAAACAAAGAGTTTTAAATAATAGGCTGTATTTTGAGAACATGGGGATCTGGCATGCTCTGTACAGCACTGAAGGTTGTATGAAATGATAAAACAGCCCTGGCTGGTGTAGCTCAGTGGATTGAGTGCTTTGTACAAAGTTACTCTTTGTAAACCAAAGAGTCGCTGGTTTGATTCCCAGTCAGGGCACATGGCTGGGTTGCAGGCCAGGTCCCCAATTGGTGGCGTGTGAGAGGCAACCACACATTGATGTTTCTCTCCCTCTCTTTCTCCCTCCTTTTCTCCCTCTTTCTAACAATAAATAAATAAATAAAAATCTTAAAAAGAAAGAAATTTTGTTTAAAAAATAAAATAAAATGATAAAACAATCCCAGAAGGCAATTTGTGACACGTATCTGCAGGATTAAAATGAGTCCTTTCAGACACACTATGTGCAGACCTAGGAATTTACACTAAGAAAACAAGACAAGGACACAAAGCCATAAGTGGAGGAACTGCTTCTCAGCATTATGTATAACAGCAACAATTACAAACCTTCCGAATGTCCAGCAATAAGAAGTTGATTATGTTATGATATAACCATAAAACAGAAAACTACATGAATTTAAACTCATGTCATGAAAGGTTTGCTTGTAAAGAATCCTTAATATATTAATTAAAAAGCAATTTATGAAATAACACATGAGTATGACTTCAATTACTATAACTCTATAAATATGTATTATATAAATATGAAATATAGTAATAATTTCTAAGTGATAGAATTATAGCTAATTTTAATGTTTATATTTTTACTATTCTTTTCTGTAACAACCACAGGTGTTTCTTGTGTCATGGATATACAAATTAATATTTTTTAAAAAACAACATTCAAAAGAGATTAGAATCGCCCAGATTTAGGTCAATTTCCTGTTATCTCCTACATCTAAAGAATAAAGGAATAGGGAGGTACCATTTTTTATGCTAGGTGATTTTTCTCAATATCTATAAAAATCCACACAATCCTTAAATTTAATAATCTTTATTATTCTCCTGTCACCAGTAAGAAGATGGAGGCTCAGAAAGTTGAACTTTCTAGAAAGTTACGGAACCATTCACGTGCGACAGGAAAATCCTAAAGCACTTTACAAGTACGCAGTAAGGTGGTCTCAACTGCATCAACTATGTAAAAACTAAAGTAAGTAAGTAAGTAAATAAACCGTCTTTAATCTGTATTTAGGTTTTCTTTTTTAAACCTAAATTAGTGTATTTTACCATGCAATATGCCTTCAAAAATAACCCCTCACTGTTGAGGGTATAAAACGGTAACTCGGTAAATAAAAACGCTCCATTGAGTTCTCTCCATTTTTACAAAGAGACGTGTGTCTTCGTGCACAGTGACCACGTGTGCCTGTGAAGGGGAGGGAGAGGCAGGGTATGGCCCGCTCAACTTCAGGAAAACGAAAAATTCTCTTAAAAAGTTTTAAGAGTTTCTCTGGACGTTTTCATGAACATTAAAAAATGCTCATACTGTATGTACTAGCTACCTCAACCTCAGTAAGTCAAAACAACTGATGGTAAAACGAAATTCTCAATTAGCAATTTATAGAGCCACACAGATGTCAACTCACCTAAGACCCCTCCTAAGGCACTAAGGCAAAAATGGTTTTCCATAAGTTTTAAACCAAAAAAGAAAGCCTGAATTTATAGCAGGGCTTGTCAGTCTGTAGCGGCTGCCTGGGCCACATTCCACAAGAAACAGACTGCATGGCACGAACAATTACTGGGTGAGGACAGGCCCGGGGTGTAGAGCCTGTGGATCTGGGCTGTGCCACTTCCGACCTGTAAGTCTGAACAAGATGCTCAACCTCTTAATTCTTCCGTCTGTGCGACGGCATGCCAGG